TTAGTGTTTTGTGGGGATCAAATATACGTAGTAATTTTTAGACAGCCTACAACGTGGAGGACAGTTTGAAGCATAGGGTGGACGAAGTACTAGTTCACGAGGAGCTACATGGGAGGATTCATTTGGTCCATTTATGTATTATCATTATTGTAAGAAATTGGGTCACATGAAATATTGTTCTCAGCTACAGGGAAAATAACCCCAGAGTGCACATGTGGCTACACAAGAGAGTCCCATGGATGAAGACACATGTCATAGTTTGAGTAGTTTCAGCTTCAATCATTTCAGCAAGTGAATAATACTCAATTCTCTTCTACTATGGTTACGCTAGCTCAGACAGGTAAACCCACTACTTGCCTTACATCGTCGTCGCCTCATACTTTTCAGGAGAAAATGATCATATGATTGGGAACCGTGATATATTATCCTCTTGTACACCTACCACATTCTTTCCTTCAATAGTACTATCTAATGGATCCACCACACCTGTGGAGGGTGTTAGATCTACCAATATTAATATCATTCCACTTTCCTCTGTACTATATCTTTTGCGTTCTTTATTTAATCTCTTATCTGTTAGTAAAATTACTAAAGCATTAAATTGTATGGTAATATTTTTTTTCTACATGTTTTTAGACACTTGGGACGAGGAGGACGATTGGCACTGGACGTAAGCAAAACGGCTTGTACGAACTGAACTTTGACCCTACCCAGGTTGCATGTTTCAGCTCCACATCAGGTTTTGAAGCATATTGTCGGCTTAGTCGTTCCCTCTTTCAATTCTTAAAACTTTGATTTTAGATTTAAATCATTTCAAGTTTGTAGAGTGTGAGTCATGTCAACTCAGAAAACACTAACTGGTGTCTTTCTCGAGTTGCGTCAATAAGCGAATCACTAAACCCTTTTGATTTAGTCCATTCTGACATATGGGATCCTTGTTATGTTCCAACTAAAGTTAGTTTTTAATATTTTATTATTTTTATGGATGACTTTTCTTGCAAGACTTGGATTTACCAGCTGAAAAGTCGTTCTGAGGTGTTCTCTGTTTTAAAGTTTTCTATGGTGATGTTAAAAATCAATTTCACAGTACCTTAAAAAATTTAAGGATAAATAATGTTAAGGAATTTTTTGAAAACTCTTTCATAAAATATTTGGAACAAAATAGAATTTTAAATCAGTCTTCTTGTACTTACACACCCCCAACAAAATAAAATGTTAAGCGCAAGAACATACACTTGTTAGAATTTGCTAGGACCTTTTTATACCATTTTCAAGTTCTAAAATATTTTTGGGGCAATGCCATTTTGACAGCATGCTACCTAGTCAATGGACTACCCTCATTACCTTAAAGAATAAAACCCCGATGTCCCTTTTATATCCGCATGAAGAAGCTTTTCATTTACCTCCAAAGATCTTGGGGTCTCTATGCTTTATTCATAATCAAAGTTCTCAATGGACGAAATCAGATTTGCGATCTCTTAAGGGAATTTTTCTTAGATATTTTAGGACTCAAAAAGTGTACAGAAGTTATTGCCCATCCTTGAATCGATATATTATTTCAGCTGATGTTGCCTTCTTTGAGAAAAAATCAGAGCATGCTACCTTTGATAAATTCTTAAACCCTCCCGCTGATTATAATTACCTTCTTGTTAGGAAAATCACCGTCAATGTTCCCTCTAAGGCTGCTGTACAAATAGAACTACCATCTAAATTTACGAAACCTGTTCAAATTTATACAAGACATATTGTTTCGTAGCTTGAGCTATCATCTCAATCCATCCAAGAGCTTGATATACTAGCAAGTCAAAATATACTCATAGAGCCAAGTGCTTAGGCTACTGATGATCTTCCCATTGCCCTCCGAAAGGATAATAGATCTTGTTCTCAAAGTTCTTGGTATCCTCTTACACACTATGTCTCTTACGCTTCATTAACTCTATCATATAACTCATTCACATCTTCTTTGGGTTCTAACTCGATTCCCAATAATTCATCAGAAGCTCTATCTACCCCCAAGTTGGACAACAGTAAGGAAAAAGGAAATGACGACCTTAGAAAGAAAAGGGACTTGGGATCTTGTTTTCCTACCACCAGGGAAGAGAGAGGGTTGGTTGTAAATGAGTTTACACAATCAAAGTAAATCCAGATGGCTCTCCGACTCACCTCAAAGATCGACTAGTTGCGAAGGGGTATTCATAGATTTATGGCCTTGATTATATCGATACATTCTCTCTTGTAGATATAATGACATTTGTCTGCATTTTTATTTCGATTGTTGCAAGCTATCACAAGCCACTACATTAGTTAGATGTTAGAAATGCATTCCCTAATGGTATTCTTGATGAGGAGGTTTTTATGGAGTAACCATCAACTTTTGTTTCTCAGGGGGAGTGTGGAAATGTTTGCAAATTAAAGAAATCTCTCTACGGTTTAAAGCAATCTCTAAGCGCTTAGTTTGGTCTTTTTGCTGTAGTTGTCCAGATCTTTATCCTTCATCGGAGCTCAGAAAGACCATTTAGTTTTCTGACGATTTTATGGTAGGAAGCAGATCCTTTTGGTTGTATATATTGATGACATTGTGATCACTGACAATGATACACAGGGCATTAGTCATTAAAATAAGTATCTGCAACAAGAATTTCAAACTACGAACGTTGGATCCTTAAAATATTTTCTGGGTATCGAGGTAGCTAGACTGAAAAAGGGGATCTCTTATCTTAGAAAAAATATGTACTTGATATTAGCTAAATGCTGGGATGTCAGAATGCAAGAGCATTAACTCACCTATGGATGATAAGATCAAACTACTATCGACTTAGAGGGAGTTACTGAAGGATATCAAAGAATACAGGCAACTTATAGTGAAATTAACTAAACTACCTAACATTTACGAGACTAGATATTATATTTTCTGTTAGTGTAGTCAATCAGTTTCTCTCGACAACTAGGAAAAAGTTGTGAAAAGGATTCTTAGGTATCTCAATAAAACTCAAGGAAAAGGAGTACTATATCTAGATAGCTGTCACATGAGAGTTGCAAGATTTGCAGATGCAGATTGGGCCGAATCTCCTGAGGATAGATGGTCAACTACTGGGTTTTGTGTGTTTCTTGGAGAAAATATAATATCGTGGAATAGTAAAAAACAAAGCATGGTCTCTCAATCTACAACTGAGTCCAAGTAGCGAGCCATGGCGAATTTGACTTGCGAAATGATCTGAGCTAGAGATATACTAACAAATATTGGTTATCTTCTGGAGTGTCGCATGAGCTTGTATAGAGATAACAAGACCGCCATTTACATAGCTGAAAACCCGATATTTCATGAGAGGACAAAAAACATAGAAATTGATTGCCACTTGATTTGTAAGAAGATGAAGAAGAGAATCATTAGAGCCAAGAAATACCATCAGGCCATCAACTTACAGATATTCTCACTAAACCTCTAATGAGGACACGAGTGAATTTTATTTGTAAGAAGCTAGGCATGTGCGATATATATGCTCAGCTTAAGGGGGGTGTTGAGAGAGTAGTTGTTTACTATTGTTGAGTCCCACATTGATTAAGGACAAACTTCTTTGTTTCCTTAAACACTATAAATAACATCCTAGAGAGAGCTATAAGAAACTCAGTAGGATTTTCCAAATTACAAGGTATACTCGGATCTACAAAATAAAGTAAAGAACTGCACCCAATAACTATATTTGACAATTTATTAGATTATAGCATGATGATTACAGGACTCAACCACTCTATCCCGTTTAAGGATTCAAGTTCAACCAAGCAAACACATACTCTCTCTGGAAGCTCCAGTTCACCAAGAATTCTACATGCTCCAAAGAGAGAACCCCGTGATTTACATACATCGCAACCAGATCACTGGCAATCTGTGGCAAACCTTTGATTCTCCTGCTGCTATAAAACCAGTATTTACGATGGTCATTGGATCAGTCTCTTCAGGTCACTATAGTTTATTTTCGACAACAATAATATATTGTTGCTGATATGCAATGAACTTGAGATTGCTAGCATCTATAAATGCGCTTCAGAGTGGCAATAGAAGATCAAATAGCAGCGTATATAGAGTTAATTGACGAAACAGCAAGCAATAACTTGTTTTTTATTCTTTTAATATGGTTATTGGAGGATTATGATTGTAGTATCATTCTTGACCAAATTTTGTTTATTGGTTATTGCTGGTGGTCTCTTTGTAGCACGGCAGCAGAAGACTACATTGCTTGAATAACGAAAAGTTCAGCGGCCTTGCGTAATTGAAGGCAAATTGCACGTACTGAATAAATCTTATTTATGACATATATAATCATTCAAGCCTTACCATGAAGTGCACGATGTTGCTATTTAGGATTTGGATGTGATCTTGTTACTATTTTCCATTCAAGAGACTTGCAATGGACAAAACGTGACTGATTTCCTTGAATTCTGAAACACTGGTTTGGATAAATACGTTCTCAAATGTATCCAAAATCCAAATCAATCAAAATGCCTCCTCGTTCCATGCAGCCGATAAAATGACAAGAGATGCTCTTAAGGGAGCATGTAGAGAAAAATAAAGCACTTAGCAATCTTGTTTTTATCAGAATAGGAGAAGACTATAAAACAAGCTGACAGTTCATAGGGAAAGTGTACATACATGCATGATGAAGAAATTAGATTGTAGAGTGGCCGTTGAAGCAGAACAAAACATCCACAGACCATACAAATTTTAAAACTTAATTGTGAGTGTCCCAACAAACATCGGGAAAATATACTCACCCATACAATCTGCACTTGCACAATAGCACACGAATAACTCTTGACACAACAATGGTTTTTTAAGAATATCCATAGACAATAATGGGGTAAGAGCAATAAGACGACAATAGCTTTTTCACAGACAAGCATAACAATAATAGGGTGCGAGCTTTCTGTGAAAAAATCCGTTTGCCATAAAATAAAGTCTGAATCAGAACGAACATATAAAGTACGTACTATAAAATGCAACGAGATATCAAAAGTCGCTATGTCAATATCCAAATACAAGTCGAAACCAAAAGTCGCTATTAAACTGTCGTGCACCTATGAAAGAGACCATGTCCCAAATTCTAATGACAATGAACACCTTAGGGCCATAAATCTCTGGTGCAAATGCACCGCAAAACATACATACGTACATACATACATATAAACTTAATACGTATAAACTTAGTGGGATATGCTGCCGATCAAACTTCTTGGCGACACGAGGCTCTCCGTGATAAAACCCAAGCCACTGGGCTTGACGTGGTTACATCGTCTATGAAGGGTCTTGGTAAAAAAATTGTAAGAGTAAATCATCAGGTTTTTGTCATCTTTTATCTCAAGCAGTATCTCATGACCTCTGATGCAGATAATGGAGCGACATAAGGTTCCAGGTCTTAAGTTGGACAGATCAATGTTGTGTCGTTTGGTCCAGTTATGTGTGACACGGTCTTCGAGCCTCCATATCGTCGAGAAACGACGGTGACAAGAAGGATACTCCACGAAGCAAAGGTTTCCTCCGGACTCCACCAAAAACACACGATGATGCCCCTTCATGGGCTCAGGGGTTGGAATCAGCTGGAACTTGTGGGTAGTTAGATCAAATGCCATGACTTGACGTTCTGGTGCCCACCAGTGGAGAAATCCATTGACGAACACAGCAACCTGATCCAACCACGAGAGGATACAGGGAGTGTCTCCTAAGTTCTGCCATTCTTGGTGAGGTCCCACCGAGAGAACTTCGCATCCCCAAGGATCCCAATATCTGTCTTCTTTACGGAATAGCCTGACGAGCTTGTAGATTCCTGTGGTGGGATCAACCCCCAATCCGACCCTATTGCTCTTTCTACCCCTCCTGCCGCTCGGTGGTGGGGGAAGCCTGACAACCTCCTTCGAGAAGGGGTTCAGCAAGTATAGGTGCCGACCGTCACGGAGTTGGGTGACGCAGACCAACCCGTCCACGGAGTTGGACAGTTTGTAAGTCGAGTGATCGTTACGGAACTGGGGTTTGAAATCAAAAGAGCAGTCCTCCACTCTGGGGCAGTCCCCGAGTTCGTAGAGCCTTATCTTGGGTGCGGTGAAGACTTGGGAGAAGAACAGGAGCCTGATATTGGCCTGCTGATGCTTCTCGACAAAGTAGGGGTCGAAGGACTCCTGCCGCTCGGTGGTGGGGGAAGCCTGACAACCTCCTTCGAGAAGGGGTTCAGCAAGTATAGGTGCCGACCGTCACGGAGTTGGGTGACGCAGACCAACCCGTCCACGGAGTTGGACAGTTTGTAAGTCGAGTGATCGTTACGGAACTGGGGTTTGAAATCAAAAGAGCAGTCCTCCACTCTGGGGCAGTCCCCGAGTTCGTAGAGCCTTATCTTGGGTGCGGTGAAGACTTGGGAGAAGAACAGGAGCCTGATATTGGCCTGCTGATGCTTCTCGACAAAGTAGGGGTCGAAGGATAAAGAAAGCCATTGCTTGCAGACGCAGCGGAACCTCGCCAGGGATCTCGACGTCTCGACGGTAGGTAAGAGAGGATTCTGGAAACTACCTCCGACGGCAGGAGCCGGACCGCCGACTGGGCAGCCAAAGCCTAATTAAATTATATTCTGGTAAGGAGAGATCTTTGCCGAGAAAGAGACTAAAAAGAAAAGGTGAGAACGTCTTAATTACCCGTGGGTGTGAAGAAGGCGAGATGTCGGCTGCCCCGTTGTTTGAATTCGCTGCTCCCGCGGTTCTCACAGAGGCCATGAGGTGAGAGTTTATGGTAAAGATGAACAGCGTTTCCCCTGCGCTGCCTGCAATCCAATATATAAAGAGAGCCTTTTGATTTGGAGGATTGTCGACTCCCAGTAGTCATAGGATCCCAGGTCTACTGCACAATTGCATACGCTAAGGTGGTGTTTGTTTCAAATCCTATAATTTTAGGATATGAATTTCACCATAGGATTTGAAATTCATAGGTAATTGTTATGGGTTTGGATTCTTAAAACTTACTTTATTTCAACAATATTTTGAGATTTGGAATACTATAATTTGTAATATTTTTGTTTGTTTCAAACTTTTTAGAATTTGAAATCCATAATTTGTATAATGCTTTCGAAATCCACCCCACATCCCACATGAAAAAGAAGATTTTACAAATCTTTAAATATATTACTTTTTTATTATTTGGGGATTTAATATCCTAAAACTTATTTTGAAACAAACAAGTTTTATGGAATTCTAAAACCCCAAAAAACCTCTTTTTACATCCCAAAACTTGAAATCCATGCTATATCCCAAAAAAAAAATGAAACAAACACCCCCTAAGTACTATAGGAATTTTTTCCGGGCCCATCGTTCATATTTTGATTAGGACGTCTTTATTTTTCTTTTTCTATTTTTTTCCCTGGCGACCATCATTCATATTCCGGAATTATTCCCCGAAGTTTATAAGTTTTATGAAATTAGTCCCCCAACCTGATGCCAAATTTTATAATTTTTTTTTTTAATTTAGAATCAATGGTGAGAATAAAAAATGCTCTCCACGAAACAGATTAATTAGTTAAAGTAAATGGATTCTGAAATTCCAACAAATCAGAATTCCATAAAAGGGTAAATTTCACAGAACCCGTGAAGTTTGTCTCAGCAGGCTTGTTAGTATCATAATAAGACAAAAACTCTTTTATAGGAGAAGTATACCTACGTTATGAAGGAGATAGACTGCATAGTTGTAGTTGTAACAGAATAGAACATTCTGATGCGCTTAAGAAAAACTCTCTCATATTTCCTCTGTAAAATTTCAGAAGCTAAACGAAAAACAACATAAAAAGATGCAGATCTTCCAGCCAAATTTTTTAGGATCATACACCATCAAGTTCAGGGATTATTAGATGAATGGGCATCCACCAGGAAATTATTTCAGTTTATAATACATGATTAAAGTACGATAAACAACAAAACATGCAGGTGATTGTCCCTGAACTTCTTCACGTAACTATTAACTGTCAGCACTTTGCTGTGCATATGTCCACACTAGGGATTCAGGATCCTAGTCAGGATTCAGGATCCTAGTCAGTGAAAGGCTAAGAATTGCAGATAAGAAGTAGATTTCATAAAAAAAATAAATTCATGTAACACTAGTAGAAAAACGAGCAATCTAGATGGAAATTTCCGTCTAGATTGGTTCACCTAGACGGAATTCCGTCTAGTTTGCTCCGTCTAGAATATTTCCGTCTAGATTGTGGCAAACTAGACAGAATTCCGTCTAGTTTGCCAACCTAGACGGAAAACAATCTAGACGGAAGTAAGAAATCTATCTAGGTTGATACCTAGATGGAAATCCGTCTAGGTTGGCAACTAGACGGAATTCCGTCTAGTTTGCCAACCTAGACGGATTGCTACAATAGCAATCTAGACGGAATTCCGTCTAGATTGCTTTGCTACAGTATTTTTTATTTTTTATTTTTTATTTTTTATTTTTTTTTGCAAAATCTACATTGCACGCTATATAATATAACATGTTCATAATATTGCACAACACCAAATCATATTCATATCCAACACAATCAATCTAATTATATTTTAATATCAAATATAATTATATTCAAAAAATACATTCACCAAAATACTAGAAAGATACATAAATTTTTTACATAGATTATAAAGAATACAATTGTTTACATAACTTGATGAACTTTGCATAATTTATAGAATCCAATTGCATTTACTCCTCCAAATTATTAAAGCATCATATTTCTTCCTCCTTGATCCTACATTATACAAAATTCAACATCAATTAGTCCATGCCATGAAATACACTTAACCTACATTATACAAAATTCAACATCAATTAGTCCATGCCATGAAATACACTTAGAAAGCATTAACTTTGTAGAAGAACTAATAAGATTCAACATCAATTAGTCCATGCCATGAAATACACTTAGAAAGCATTAACTTTGTAGAAGAACTAATAAGGAAATCAAATTATAACCCAAGGCTATAGAAAGAGCATGCATTATTGATTGGCTAGAGAAGACAATATCTTATAGTGGAAAGATGGAGAAAATTATTAGAACTTCCAGGATTCAGATTTCAGAATTAATAGACAAAAATGTATTATACGAAACTTGTATGTTATATAAGCTAGACTGAATAAGTAAAAGCTAGGAACTAACTCCCCACTTTGTGCTTGTATAGTAAAAGTGAATAATGGACAATGCAACGTCAATTTGGTTAACTTGAAAACACTCAACATACCGGAGATGACAAATGTAATTAAAATTGTTATGTGCACAATGTATTGATATACTAAAAATTTCCATCATTTGTATCATTGCTCTACCAATCATAGTTGCATCTGCATTTGTGCATATTTAGGCATTGTGTGTGTGTTGCTAATATACATTCCATACCAACATCCAGCTTTTTCCAAGTTCTTAATATCTTTGTATCATATCGTACATGTATATTTTGTAAAAATATTGCCACATAAGATTCTAAAATGCATTAGACACACACCAAATGAAAGAGCATAGAATCTTACCGAAACTAGGTTTTCATAGACACCAAGGTCAAATGGATGTCTATAAATATTTCCAACTTTTTCTGCCAACCACATGGCCCTCACTCCTTCATGATACCGCAGAACACATCAGCACCTTGTGAGGAATAGAGATATATTAGGTCATAGGAAACAAACTACTCACAGAATTTTCAGACCTCTATAGTTGTCTTATTATGCAAGATCAGATAGATATGCCAACCCAAAAGAACACTTAACGCCAATGTAAGGGGAATAAGCAAAACACCACAAATAATCTGTCAAGTTAATCACTGATGTTAAAAAGTGGCAAAGCAATGTGAGGCATGAGGCATTAAAAGTTGCTTACATATGATGTCCTAAAAGAGCCTCCATTCTGCTGTTGATCCTTGTGCATATCATGAACAACACTGCCAAAGAGAAGAACCTGAAAAGGAGATAATTAGCCCACCTATCAATGTAACAATCATCTACATGAGTAATTAAAGGGGAAATGTGAATACAACCATAGAGTGAATGCAGGCAATCACAACATACAACACAAAAACTAAGAAAACTTTGTAATTTGCATGCCCAACACAATTATTTATCCAGACACAGTGATGGTCCTTCAGGCATTACAAGGTAATGTTAGAAAGCGACAAAAGGTTTATTAATCAACAAGACAACTGAGACATGATACATACCATCCTCAGAACACATCTTTTGCAAACACGACAATGGTGCGCACGAGGAGGTTTATAATGAGAGCACTTTTGACAATATCTCAAGTCTCCACCCTGCAATGCAATTAAACTCAAGACGGTTAAATAAGAGTACTCTGGGTAAAATGCTTTCAGGATATTGCCCTGAACTAAGCAAACAAATGCAACAATTAAATTGACACTAGATGACCAAACTTCTCACTGATTATGCATTTTAGTCAAGTTGCCTAACTCAAAGTTCAGTTCTTAACAAACCCTCACATAAGACGTTGCGCATCAAGATTCTAATTTTACAAAGCACATAGCATTACTCTGCAAGTGGCTCCTCACATCATCAGATCATACTTTGAAGAAGCTCGCAGAATATAATAAAAACTAGATATGAATACTAATAATGGTTAAATCTGCAAGTTGGAGATATAGGTCATCTATTAATCCTACCAAGTACACCAATGACTGTCATTCCATTCTAAAGGCTAATATAATCATGGTATTTCTAATATAGAATCCTCAGGCAGTTCCATGCAAGAAAATTTAACATAACTAGGAAGTTGCAATTAATAAAGTAACAACTGAACGATTCAATCTAAAAGAGAAAACAAAACATGATAAAGAACTATATTAACAATTACAATGCACAACAACACTATCATTCAAGAAAATTTGTACCAACTGAATGATTCAATCTAAAATACATAGAACATCAATATGCTAATCAACATTTCCAAGTCATCAAATATGATCAGTTAGAACTAATTTAATTAATAATTATAAGTGAGATATAAAATAAGTTTACTCATATAGAAGCCAATCAAGAAGTTAGAAATTGAGAACAATTAAATGATATATTCTTTCAAACAAATTAAACTAAGAGAGAGATATTGTCATGAGAATAAAAATAGCAAAATAATTTCATTAAGCAAATAACAAAATAAAAAGGATAAATCTTACGACCACGGCCAGCGGGTTCATGTTGTTCGGCCTCTCCCGCTCCTCTTTCTATATGTAAGTTACTAGGAAATATATAAACCATTACAGGGGATGATTTCCAATTGCAAAACAGCTTTATCACGAGCTCGTCGGAGGAGCCGGACTTGGAGATGAGGACAAGGAGGTCTCCGGGGAAGAGGGCGCCTATGTCACCGTGGAGAGCGTCAACGGGGGGAGGAAGGAGGAGCGGGAGAGGCCGAGGGAGGCGAGGGTTTGGGAGAGCCGGACTTGCCGACGCCGGTGAAGAAGTCGGCGGAGGGGGAGGCGGAGAGGACGGACTGGGCCTGGCCAAGGACTTGCTGCTGTGATTTGAAGAGCAGGGAGAGCTCGTCCGGCTCAATTTGGGCTGAGGCTGGAGAGGCCGAGGTGGAAGGCGGAGGGGGGGATGAGGTGGCGGCGTGGAGATGAGAGAGAGAGAGAATTGGGGGTTTGTAGAGAGAGAGAGAGAGAGAGGGTTTGGCCAGTTTGGGGGTTTTTAGACGGTGAGGGGAGAAAATAGAGACGGGGGAAATGAAAAAATAGGTGGGGAAATGAAAAAAAAAAGAGGGGGAGACGCTAATTTTTTTAGGCAACCTAGACAGAATTTCCGTCTAGGTTGCATCAATCTAGACGGAATTTCCGTCTAGATTGAGTGTTTATTTAAAAAAAATAAAAAATCGTCTAGTTTGTCAATTTAGACGGAAATTTCCGTTTAGATTGACTCAAACTAGACGGAACAAACTAGACGGAATGTTTTCCGTCTAGTTTGTCTCAAACTAGACGGAAAAAAATTCCGTTTAGTTTGTTTCGTCTAGTTTATCCATTTTTCTACTAGTGTAAGCCCATGCACAATGCTGAAAAAATTTGATAATCGCGAGCTGATAGGCTGACATATTTGCAAGGATTAAAACATAGTAGTTGCTCAGCCACCAAACACATAATAATGACATTGAGTATTCGAACAATGTAGTATCCCAAAGTCAAAATTGTTATAGCTACGTTTATAAATTATCAGTTTTTCTATAGAGTGCCCTTGGGCACTCTATAAGAGAGGAGATAGATAGAGAGAAGTGAATGAAGAGAGGATCCCAATGCAAATCAGGGGGTCCCCCTCCTCATTCATTTCTCTCTATCTCTCTCCTCTCTTATAGAGTGCCCAAGGGCACTCTATAGAAAAACCGATAAACTATTAAGGGCTTGTCCGAACAATAGAGTTGATTAGTACTAGTTTGTAGATATCAAAACCCAAGAGGAGATTTAAGTGCTGATTATAATTATGGATGCATTTGTGATCATAAACCACTTGACGGGTTAAGGAAAATTACCAAATTATCATCAGTTTGATACTAAAGCATGTTCAACTTTTGAGTACAAAACTTTTTGTTAAGGGAGATGATATATAATAATCCTAATATTTTATTTGATAATAAATACTACGCTTTACAAGTTCTTTAGTAATTATCAAACTATTTGGTTAAGTTATACTAAGTTGCAAAGCACATTTATGTTAATGCTAAGAGAATATAACAGCAAGATATCTAATAATGTAGCTTAGGGGCTTTATTGCAATTGAAAGCTTATAAGGGCATTTATTAGAAATAGTGAACTAATAAAAGAAAACCTTTTTTTGACTAGAAACAGGGTGAGGAGCCCTGCATATATATATATATATATATATAAGCTTAGGGGCTTTATTGCAATTGAAAGCTTATAAGGGCATTTATTAGAAATAGTGAACTAATAAAAGAAAACCTTTTTTTGACTAGAAACAGGGTGAGGAGCCCTGCATATATATATATATATATATATA